CTTCTGTCGTGCTTTTTTCTTTAAATCTTCCTGCAGCACGTGTAATGCTCAAATGCCAAACCCCACAATTTAGCATTTTTTTCCCTCTGGAAAAGTAAGACCGTAACTGCATCCCGTTCCAGCGGTGCGTTGCTGCTCTCCCCGGTTAATCCTCCCCTGAGGTTTCCCCCCTTTCGGAGGACGCAGACTGTGATGGAAGCGAGGGCAGAAAGGTCGTAAGGGCCTCCTGACGGCTCGCTGCCGCGTTGTCCCTGTGGTGTCTAAAATCACGCGTGTTGGGTTGGGTTGTGCTGCTTGTCCTGCCAGCAGAGGAGGTTTAAGCTGGATATTAGGAAGAAGTTCTTTGGTGAAAGGGTCACTGGGCATCGGAACAGGATATCCAGGGCAGTGGCGAAGTCGCCGTCCCTTAAACAACGTGTTGAGCTGGTGCTTAAGGATATAATTTAGTGGTGTCCTGGCAGCGCTAGGTTAATCGTCGGACTTGATGATCTTAAAGATCTCTTCCAACCCAAAGAGGTTCTGTGGTTCTACCAGCAGGGCCTTTCCTCCATCCTTCCTGGCTGTGGTGGGGAATGGTGGAAAAGCCCCAAGAATGGCATGCTGACCAAATCCCTGCAAAAGATGTCTGTCTTTGTTAGCCTGCACTGCTTTAAATCTTTCAGGTTGTTTCTCCCACTTGCATTTTCTGTTCCGGCAGCGCACAGTCTTGGTAACACCTTAGTTTCATACACATGGTGCTCTGGAGCTCTGCTTTGCGTCTGTGGAGGTGAAAGAAATCACAGTGAAAATCCCAGATACGGTGGCAGTGCTGTAGGTCTGCCCTGGGCAGCTCTTCTGCTTGCCTGTGGCTTCTGAAGTGCTGGGAACACGGGCCGAGAGCCACCCCTGCCAGTTTTATTTACTTGATATCTGTTAAACAAGTTAGCTTGCTATATTCTATCTGTTCGGGTGTGGGTTTTTTTAATGCAACTGCAATATGTGCCTGTATGGAACACCCTGCTTCTAGATCTACCCAGAAAGATAAAAAACCCCTTCTATTTTTCGAGAGGCACGACCGCAGTCATTTTATTAAGAGGAAACCAGTGACAACTTATTTAATAGTTATACTCACACAGATTTTTTTTAAAAAACTATTGCATCAATAAAAACAACAGGGTTAATGATTAGAAGGGTTCCATTTAACTGAAGGGTTTATTTTGTTTTGTTATGTGTGGTTTTCATTGCAAGTGCGTTGTGTCTGTCTAACTGAGCTTTGACAGGAGTCTGAAGGTCCAGCTTTTGTTCTCAGATCTGCCACTGCTTCGCTGTGTAACCGTGGACTGAGCACATCTGCAGGCATTTGTTTCTCCATTTCCAAGGAGGTGTTCCTGCCTTCGTAGCCTGAAAACTGTCTGTGTCTTCTCGTTGCAGGCAAGCTGATGGTCGGAAGGTCCTGCGGTCGAGCATACGGGAGTTCCTGTGCAGCGAGGCGATGTTTCACCTCGGAATACCAACAACAAGGGCTGGAACATGCGTGACATCTGACTCGAAAGTCGTCCGTGACATCTTTTACGATGGGAATCCAAAAAGTGAAAGGTGTACCGTTGTTCTGAGAATAGCTTCTACGTTTATAAGGTAGAAGCCTATTTTTCTTGTGGGTTTTTTTATATTTTTTAAAACCAAGCACAGCAGTCTTTTAAGATACTGTTTTAAATGTATTTCTGTAATGGCACCATTTGTGTATTTCTTGTCCTGGAGGCCTGGAACTCTTTTGTGGGGCTGTAGGAAGCCTCTCTCCTTGTCCATCAGATGGGATGAGCTGGTGTCTTCGCACACAGACAGATAAACGCTGAGGATGCTAGCCTGGTAGAAAGAAGAACAAAGTTCTGCAGACCTCAGAAGAGATATTTCATGTTTGTGCCTGTGCAGAATACATGCTTTTTTTGATGTCAGTAGTAGCGGTGGATTATAGCTCTACCCTTAATTCCAAAGCTATTCTGATGTAGTACTGTCAAAGCTTGGGTGTCCTTTTGCTGCCCGAGAAGTGTACGAGATTCCTGCTCCAACAGAAAATATCAAGAGTTTCAGGAAGTTGCATTGCTTCTTGTAAGGTCACAGAATATTAGGAGGAAAGAGAGACATAAGAAATATATGTATGCCTGTGTATATGTATGCCTATATATATATGTATGTGGAAAAATCTGTATTACATGCGTGATGTACAGTCTAGTATTTTAAATAAGACCTATTGCTGTATATTTACTCATGATAAGAATTTTTCTGTAGAAGTAGCTGTAAGAAACTTTAACAGTCTGGTCTTCAGTACCAACTAGAGTCTTAGTCAGTCAATGTAGTTACTGGTGGATGTCTGGACTTCCTTGCATTGAGCCACTGAGTCTCGCCAGGCTTCATGTAGGAACCTTTCTGGTCTCTTCTCTCAGCCACTTGAAGGATTGGTGTTAAACTGGAGAGATGATGTGGTGTAATTGCAGCAACAGTAAATGTTTTTCTGCATGTAATGTCAAATGAAGTTAATAGTATCAGGTAATGCTAAAATGTGTTCTTGTTATTTTAAAACAGGTTTGGTTCTTTTGAAATTTTTAAACCTCCTGATGAATACACAGGACGTAAGGGTCCCAGTGTTAACCGAAATGATATTCGGATACAGATGCTTGATTATGTGATCAGTACTTTCTATCCAGAAATCCAGGAGGCTTATCCAGACAACAGTATTCAGAGGAATGCTGCTTTCTTCAAAGAGGTAAGAAAGACCTAATTCTCTTCATAAATCCATAGCAGTCATCTTTAGGAACTTCATCTGCAAGCACAGATGACTGGAGTCAGCTAATACCTTGTATCATCCGATTGCTTGAGATATTCTTTTTTTGAAGAAGACGAGACTCTTAATAGATCTGCTTATCAATGAAAGTAGGGTTGATGCTGATCAAAGCAACGAAAGTTTAACCTTGGTAATAACAAATCATGATTGCTCTGGCAGAGCTTCATAAGACTCGTCTCCATTTGCTGAGAGTGTCTTAGACTGTGAGGGGGAAATCTAGCCCTGACTGTCAGGTGATGAGTCGATGATGGCAAGACATCACTTGCAAGGCTTCATCTTGTAAAACACTGAGAATGTCAAGTCACCTCCCTCATTTTCCACATTCCAAGCAGGAATATTGGCTGTAAACCATTTTAACTTGAGGCTTTAGAATTGAAATGTTTAAAGGCAGTCAGGCACTGTGAGGGCTTGCCTGAGGAAGTGGCAAAACCTCCAACTTTGGAAATAGTAGGATCAACTTGAGGTAAACATGTCTTAGATGTGGTGTAGTATCAGGTCATTCTGCAGTGGCCCAGAGGAGAGGCCGGGTGATTTCTCAGGGACTCATTTTGAACTTCTTTTCAACTACTGAATGAATTTAGATCTTAAGAATTATTAGAGATCCATAACAGAAATTGAGAAGTGTAACATTACTAAATGTAGAATTGTTATATTTCTTTTTGAAGTAAAATGTAGCTAAATTAATTGGTATCTACACCTCATCTCCTGAATATACCTTTTGCCTCACTGTTGATATTGTTATTCTTGACATTGAGTTCCTGACACTATATTCGTTTGTTTGAATGAGGAAGGAAAGATTTTGGGGTAGGGGAATAAAATGCTTTTCTTCATGTTTTATTTGCAGAAGGCGTCCAGTTGAAATTACTGGAGAACTATAATAAAGGCTTTGATTTGGATAACTTGAAGTTAGAATTAATGTTGCAACCCAAATAAGAATGTTGCAGCCAGATAGTAAGCGGAATAATTAAAGCGTACCTCAGTCAAGTAGACTTGGCCAGCCTACGTAAAAGCAGGTGTGGTGTTTTGAAATACGGAATTACGTTTTGAAATCCGGAATTACATGGTAGGGACTGAGGGAACAGCTGCAGCATGATGCCTTTTCCTAACAGACCAGTAAGAGGTCAAAAGGCAGGCTGAAAATCTGATATTCTCTAAGTTTTGTGGAGTTTGAATTTGTGGGTTTGGTTTTTTGTTTGTTGTGGGGGTTGGGACAGGGGGGTGGTGTTTTGTTTTTTCTGTCTGGGTTTTTTTATTGCTTTAGCACAATCTGTGCATACTTGCATTATTTCTTCAAAAGCAAGCTGTGGCTTGGCCCGGTGCTGGGTACCGGCACTGGGCAGACCTTTTGCGTTGGAATGATGGGAGCTGGTGAGGAGAGCTGTGGTTTGTTACCCGCTTGGTACGTGTCCAGCTCTGTACGTGGCAGCACATTTCCCTTGCTGATAACAGAAAAGTTACAGGACTCGGGGACGTTTGTGGATGTCTGTATGTGTGTCCAGTCCTATTTCTTTCTGCTTTTGGCAGAAAAGCTTTTTGGCCTGTCCCAGTAGCTACTAGTTTCCCCCATCCTGGCATCCTTTTTTCTTGCCCCGTCTCCATTTTTTTTCTTTTGCTTGTTTGTGGTACTCTTGCTTTTGGCTGTACATGCTCTGTGTCTGTGCTAGTGTTGCCTCTTTGTGTTTTCTCTCCTCCTTAGTAGAGACTTTCCATACCTTTCCCCACCCGAAAAGCACCCCTGTGCCTTATCTAATTTGCCAAACTGTTTCAAGATTGGGGAAGTGGTGTCAGCCCGACTCTTAACGTGTTTTATCTTTCTTTTTGCGCTGTGGAAGAAATGAAGGAAAAAAGTACAAGTGATTGCATTTGGCAGCGCTGTGTGGAAAGCGAACACCATTATCTGCATTATCTGTACCTCTCAAATTTGTAGCTGTTGTTTAAATTTAAACGAGCATGTCCTTGAGATAGTGCTCACATTTACATATACACCATGCTTGTTTTCTAGTATGGCTAGCAGTAGAAAATATCAAAAAGACTAATGTTCAAAGTGAGTGCGCAGCTGTCTCTTTCTAATCAATACTCTCCTCTTTGAGCGCTGCCCGAGCTTTAATTGCGTTTAGGTGTTCTCAGTAGTGGGATTTCTTTTTTTTACCAGAGCACTGGTGGCATGTGGTGCATTCACACAAAGACACCCAGAAGCCATGAACTGCCTTGCTGCTGGAATGTTTTCATCCTGACACTGGCAGCCGGGTTTTGGGTTTTTTTTTAATTGGTTTTTAAGTTTTACCATCTTCCTGGCACAGAGCCGTCGTACAGGGTGTGTCTCTCTTGCTGGTTTAGGACATGCCAGTAATCAGTTTGGGACATGTGTAGCTGTCTCCTGACTGCCTCCTGAAGCAGCGTTCAGAAATAGTGGGGAAGGTGCCCAACACAAGAATTTTGTAAAAAGTAGAAGTGTAGGATCTCAAGGTGAACCAAAAGCTTCTGTTCCCGTCATCATCTGTGAATTTTGCTACCTGTCAGATTATCCCAGGGCAAGATTTTTCTAATTTTTCTTTCTTGCCTGTCTGAATGTGTTCAAAGAAAAGGAAAATGGAAAAATTCTGAGTTTGGAGACAGAGGCATGAAACGAATGTTTTTTCTGTTAACTAGATGTTTGAAAAAGTCTTAAGAAAATGCATTTGCACTTCAGCCTGGAGGGGTAATTTAATTTCTATACAGTAATAAGTAATTGGGAAGATGGGTGATTTTAGCTGTGGAAATAGTTTGATTTAAAAGTTTTAGCTAATGACTGCATAAGATTTTTGTGTATCACAGTTCTTTAAAGTATTTAGAAATATCTAAGTTTGTTTAAAAGCCAGGTTAGCTTCTTGAATTTTAGATTTCATAGGGCTTATCTAGTTGTAGTTGACAGGTGGACTAATTTAATAAAATAAATACTGTGATATTTTTAAATAGTTCTAGTTGTTTGAAGAATGAGTCACATGTAGTGTTTGCAGTCCAGGATTCTCTTAACAGTGACTCTCAGCTAAGCAATGGAAAGCTCTAGTGAAGCATGCATTCAGTGAGGAATTGTATTTAAATAAAATTGTCATTCCTGGAATATTTTTGCTTAACCTTCCGGTTTTTTCCACTCTCAGCAAATTGAGGGAAGTGTTTATCGGTGCTAAAACTTGTTAGCAGGGAGTAGTTTTTTGTGTAAGCCATTTACCTTCCTGTAAATCACTCCTGAATACCAGTTAAACCAAAAGACTTGCTTTACTAGTTCCATATAGTTAATTTTATTTCTTAGACTTCGCTTATGTTTTCTCCTGCCTGTAGTTAAAAGAGTCTCATAGTAAGCAAAAGAAAATATTTGTATAATAGCAAGTCCGATGTCAGACAATTGACCTTATTTCAGCGTTCTGTCTTCAGTATGTTTTAAAGCTGTCCAGTTGACTTGCAAGTCAAGTGTGGAAGGAAAGAAGAGGCAAACAGAAGCAGGAGACTGAGAAACTGGGTGGTTACTGACAGGAGGAGAGAGGCAAGCTGTCCTTAGGATGTTTGTGTGTGTGGCATGCTACCAAAATCGACTTCCGTCGGAGCTGTAGAAACGTCGGTTCAGACTAAGAAATGTTTGGAGATATATTGCGTTTAAAAAAATTAAAAAATCTCTTTTAGATAACAAAACGGACGGCAAGATTGGTGGCTGAGTGGCAGTGTGTTGGGTTTTGCCATGGCGTGCTGAATACGGATAACATGAGCATAGTTGGACTGACCATCGACTACGGCCCTTTTGGATTTATGGACAGGTCAGTGTGGTGTAATTACTTGAAACCCGCACGTGTGTTTGCTATGTAGAACAATCCTGATGTTCACGATTGCTTTAATACATTAACAGAAGTAGATTTATCAAGCCTCTTTATGGCAAAGTAGATCAAGTTAGTTCAAGTTGTCCTGAAATTCTTTTCAGCTTCTTTTTAACTGCATTCACGATGTCTCTGTTAGACTGTTCTTGTAGCCTGCAGGGTTTCTCAGTGTTTGAGAGGGCAGGAAAATGTCTAATGAGGTAACTTTGGGAAAAGAATCAGAGTGTTTTCACTGAATTACTTTTTCTTTCCTAAAGGAGGCTACAATAATAGTTTTCACTCTCTCGGTGTCCAGATAACTAGAAGAATGCTGTTTCTTCGTTTGTAGATATGACCCTGAGCACATTTGCAATGGTTCTGATAACACGGGGCGCTACGCTTACAACAAGCAGCCAGAGATTTGCAAGTGGAACCTGGGGAAGCTCGCTGAAGCTCTGGTTCCAGAGCTGCCCTTGGAAATAAGCGAACTCATTCTGGAGGAGGAATATGACGCCGAATTTGAGAATCATTATTTGCAGAAGATGAGGAAGAAACTAGGCCTGATCCAGCTGGAATTAGAAGAAGATAGTAAGCTGGTGTCTGAACTCCTCGAAACCATGCATCTCACAGGTTGGTGAAGAGCGCAGGAGGTTATTGTTTAATAGCCTGTCAGTACAAGCAAAATGTAGTTTGTAACTTAACCTTACAAGAAGCAGCCTTGCATCACTATGTTGTTATCTGAGAGAAGAAAAAAAGAGTGAAAAATAATTACCTTATTCTGATCTCTGGGGCAGCTGTTGCCTTATAGAGGGCTTCCCTGTCTCACATTTGCACCCTCACTGAGGGAAAAGTTTTATCTGCCTCCTCAGACCAGTGACCTGTACTGCTGGGGGCGTCTGACCTGTACTGCTGGGGGCGCGGTAGGAAGAAGATGTGGGACCTGTTTTACTGCTGATTACTCACAGAATTCACTTTTTCAGGTGGAGACTTCACAAATATTTTCTGCTTGCTGAGTTCATTCTCAGTAGACCATGATCCTTCAAAACTGGAAGATTTCTTAGAGGAGCTTACGAGTCAGTGTGCTTCTATGGAAGAACTGAAAGTTGCTTTCAAACCGCAGATGGATCCAAGGTAATAGTCTTTTTTTTATTATTTTACTTAAATGCTTCTGGCCAGTGCTTTTAGTTTTATTATAAGCAAAATGGACTCTGCATGCTATGCAGTGTTTGACTCATTTTCAATTTGGAAATTTCACTGCTAAGTGGATGCATCGTGATCTACGGGAGTGCAAATTCTCCTGGGCTTTGGGACTGG